TCTAATCTGTTATTAAAGAGTTTTTCCAGAATTTTTGAAAATTGTGACAACAGAGAAACTGGTCTATAATTTGTGAAGTTGTGCTTATCACCAGATTTATACAAAGGAATAACCTTTGCTATTTTCATAGTGTTAGGGAACTGCCCAAGTCGAAACGACATGTTAAAAATATGGGTTAATGGTTTACATATCCCCTCAATTACCCATTTAACAGTTGTCATAGTGATACCATCACTATCACTAGATGTTTTGTTACCACATTTATTCACTATCTCTATAATTTCCTTTTCAACTATGGGCTTCAAAAACATAGAACTCATGTTCCTATATTAATGATCATTGTTGATGTGTCAGTACATTAGGCAGCAATACAGCTTTTTATTTTCATATATTTATGTTTAATGGGTCTATAAATGTTTCTAGGTTCTGCTGAAAGGCCAAACAGCATTCCAAAGAAAAGGTTCGACGCAGCTGTTCTGTTCTACAGTTTGTCTGACTGGCCATCTGCCTGTAGCCAATAGGAACCGATGCTGTTCCCAGTGCAACAGGTACTTTTTTGTTTCCACTTGGCATCAGAATGAACTTCATTCAAGGGTTTCATATAGATACAGGTTTCACCAGTTTATAAAAGGTGTATTTACCACATGAAAATGCTAATTGTCCTAAATGTTATGCTTTTTTTGTGCTGGAGAGCTGGGGGGAGGGGTGCTGTAATTCAAGATGAAAATGTGATACTAAACAATATCAATGTGATCAATGTGACACTTGCTTCAGGCATAGATGCTAATATTTTCAAACACTGGTCCCACAGGCCACCAGGCTCCTAAATTTGGTGGCCAAAGTACATTTTCAGTGGCCTAAATGTAAACGTATGTAAAAACAGTGCAGAAAAGAAAACTTAACACAGCCTTCCTTAACTGTGATACTTCAAAAGACTGACAGAATTAATATACGTACTATTTATTTTAACTGAAAACTCAAGTTCATTATTTTAATCCCTCATCAGAAGACCAAGTGAGACCATTTTCAAATCTTGGTGCAATGAATTTACAGATAAAAAGTGAATGCTGAATGTGTGAGGAATTTTAGTCAATCACATGTCTCAATGAGCTCTGTTGAAGACTGAGTTCACCCCCACTTGGTCCTAAACGGAAGCAGGGTCAGCTGAGCCTGTGTCAGCACGATTACCTCCTGCTGCTAGATACAGATGGAAATGGAGGCCAACCTGTGTGCACCCAGCTTGGCTCAGTTCAAGCAGGCCGACCCAAACCACCATTACTTCACGGTCTCTTTTTAGCCGTCATGCTCCCGCCTCATCCCCGCTCTCTTTGTGCCCCCCCCCCCATCGTTGTGCCTGAGTCAGTCATGTCTGCAATACATGCTTTCAACATTAGCCTCCTTTTTCAAAATACATGGGCACAATAAATTTGTTTTTATAATTATTTAAATTGAAAACAGGTTCTTTGAAAACATATGGTACATATCCTCTAACTTCTTCAATTTTGCACTCCCATGCAATCCTGTGCCAGATATACCCTCCCTCCCAGCATCGTCCCTGTGTCAGTCCTGCGTACACCACAGTACATTACATTGTTAGATGTGTTCTATTCTAGCCACTTAAACTCCTGCTTCCATTCATTTCAAATTTTTTGTTGCCAATTTCTCTTTTTTTATCGTCTGTGTTTTGTGTTCTTGGTTCTTCTGAAGGGATTGTGTTAGAAGTTTGATTAGGCTTTGTAAACTCGTACTTCAGCCCTGACATAACAGCTGCTAGCCGGCAACAAGTAACCTTCTGTTCACTGTTTTTGAAGAGTGTTGAACTAAAAGACGTGAATGAATCAGAATGGTTGTGGAATGTTAACATGTTACTCATAACAAAGTCTGTCAGTCTGAATTAAATAACTTTTTTTTCAGCTTTGCCATTTGGTCTCAACACCTAACCTACCATCATCTTGCATATTTCAGACTAGTGAATTTATTCCTTGTGTCTTTCTCTGTACAGGGAAATCCTTCAGCCCAGGGACATGATCACTATTCCAGCAGATGACAACACCTTTATGCACTTTTGTGGCCAGTTCTGTCTGTCTGTCTTTAGACACAAGAAGGAACATGCTGAAAAGATTCTTGACAAATGGACTGACAAACGGCTGGAGAGAAAACCTGAGAAGCTGCATCAGAAACAAGTGGAGCGCCAGCCTGAAAAACCCTTTTGCAGTGTTTGTAAAGTCACTAATAAGGTAAGAGAGACAAAAGACTAGCTGTTATAGTAAAGAGAGGCACAGTCATTATGTCTCATAAGCCAAGTTAGAACCTCTACTATTTTACTCCTCAGTGTTATTCTCTGTCTTGTTTGACTGGAATCATTTCTACAGCAGATTGAGCATGAGGTCACCCATCAAGGTCGTCTGCACAGGCTCTGTAGCGATGCTTGTTTTGTAACGTGGCGTAAGATGCGTCAGTTAGCCATGAATTGCTGTGAAGGCTGTGGACTTTACTGTAATAGCAACTCAGGCTCCTGTCAAACACTCACGATTGAAAGATCTCAGCTCAACTTCTGTGGTCCTACCTGCATTGGCACCTACAAACAGGTATGTCTCATTTTTACAATCTTGTTTGGTTGTGTTTACAATCAGGAAGGATGTTTCAGTGTTCATGACAGGAGTATGTGCATTAAACACTACGGCTACACTACTCATTTTTGCATGTTAGTGGCTTCAAATGGCAATAAGCGGTAACTTGAAATTTCAGTACCCAGAAATTATATAACAATGGAACACCACATGCCACCCTCGTGGTTATCAAGCAAATGTACCAAATATAAGCCTCTAAAATGCCACTTATCTCATACAGTCCTGCAGAAAGACAGTTGAGTGTGCCTACTGTCAAACATTGGCAACAGTGTCCTCCACCATCATGGAACGTGACCAAAGGGGCAAAGTTCAGCTTTACTGTTCACCTGCTTGTGTGGAACAAAGTCGACCTCCCCGACATACTCTCTCTGGTAGGACTCACCGTGAAGAAAACACACTCACATGTTAGTGTTACCTGGCAGGATGCTGGTAGATGCAAATGAAGGAAGCTACAGTTTTGCTGCAGATTGTATCACAACCAGACCCATGAAAAGCATATACAATTGCTTATTAATACATGTGAATGCATGCTCACATACTAATGTTACCCTTGTTCTTCCAGGCACTCCATTCCCATGCTCCTTTTGCAAGGTTTCAGCTGTTCCTCAGTATCACCTGGCCATGGTGGACGGTACCATTCGTAACTTCTGCTCATATGACTGTGTTTCTATATACAGGGTAAAGGCACCAGTAGCAAAGGAACTTTTATTATCCAACAAAGGTTGCTGATGGGGCATCTGTTGGTCTAAAACCTGTCGTCTTGAAAATGTAACCGTGCTGTTCCTCCATGTCTTTACAGAAGTCCGGACACCCCTCTCAGCCAGACCTGACAAATGGAACCTCCTCTCTCAGGGATGCCCTCAAACCTGCACCCTCTGCTGGAGCCAGTTCAGTGCCTCCCATCCCTCAAGACTGCCAATCTTCAGTCCCCTACCAGGGCCATCATCCTAGTCATACCTCAGTCCCCCCATTGCCCCCCTACCCTGCCATGACTTCCCCCTCTATCCCAGGGCAAACCCAAACCAGAGCACCCCCTGATCAGACCCTGAAACCAGCAGAGGGTCATGCCAGTGAAAGCTCCAAACTGACCTGCCATCTGTGCAATAAACAGTTCAACACCAAGCCTTTGCTGTTCAGTCACCAAGTAAGCAGCACAGGTCACATCAACATACAGATACTCAATATATATACATACTTAACCCTAACTTGATATAGCTCCTTGCATGACCTGAGTATAACACTCATCAACTAACCATGATGATTATACTAATAGTAAATTTCGCCTGCAGGGTCGAATTTCTATGTTCTGCAGTAATATGTGTTGTGAGCAGTATAAAACCCAGAAAAATATCCTGGCATTATGTGAGTACTGTAAACAGGAGAAGGTGCACTTTGACACCATCCGCTACAGCCAGCAGGACCTGGTCTTTTGCAGTGAAAGTGAGTTGACCCAGAAATTACCTCTTTACATAGTTTTTAGGTATTTCAGTGGCTGAATGAATGAAAACTGTAAGCTTAGTTGTTTATTAAAGTATAAAATTGCAAATGCAGGATGCTTGATTACTGCTGATGTCGACCTGTTCAACTTGGTCCAGTCACAGTCTTGATAAAACTGGCCTAAAGTTAAGAGAAATTGTAGCTCTGACCTTCCACGCCTGTAAATGACTCATTTTAAATCATTGTAAATGCCACATCCAGTTGGTGCCAGTGGACCCATGCTAGGCAAAAAATATGTTTGTTCTGTATTCCAGGCTGTAAGCTACTCTTCAAACATGACCTGATTTCTCGTAACAAGGATCATCCCTGGCGTCCTTGCACCCACTGCTCTAGCATCAGCCAGAAGATGCTGCACAGCCACTACGGAGGTAGAATGGAGGAGTTCTGTAGACCCCACTGCATGTCTCAGTACACTGTCCTCTACTATGGGGTAAGGAGATGGATGTCCCAGCACACTATATGTTGTAACAAACTATGTATCTTCACTGTGGTTGTCTTTCATTTCTTTAGCCATGTTCTGTTCCCCCCCCAAATCCAGATGGGGCGATGTGATAGCTGTAGGAAACAGAGCTACATGACTGAGAAGCTGCAGTGTTTGGGTTCAGTCCGTAACTTCTGCAGCCTGCCTTGCCTGCTGCAGTACTGCTACCTGCATTTTGAGATGAACCAGCATACGAGCAGCAACAGCACTGGAAGAGCACTACAAACACCATATGGTAAATTGTGTTGTCACATCAGTATTATTTGATGTTGAGCACTTCAGCAGTGTTTTGACCAATATTAATCTAATGCCAGTTAAAATACAACAATATTGAAATTGCTTTGACTAAACTTTCCAGAAAATAAGGCCCAGGTTTAAAAATTATTATTATTATTATTATTATTCTTTTATATGTGGGCTTGGATTTTAAAGTTGTCATTCTGTCTCAGGTATGATCCCTTCTATCCTTCTTCTAGCTCCAGCCCAGCCCCACCACTCCTCAAAGATGAATCCTGTTATAGCGGATGTTGTCTCATTGGCCAGTGGCTCTGCCACTCAGCCCAGTGTGTCGGCAGACACTGCTCTGACCGGTTAGTACATACACATAGTCCTAGGTGGGTGCTTTCAAAGTACAACTCATTGTTCTGCCCCATTTTTGAGCCACTTGTCCTGGTCAAGGTCTTGATGCCAGCAGAGCAAATAGAACAGCCTAGTGCTTCATTCCCCAGTTACTTCCTTGAACTCTTTTATAGCTTAGATTACTAAATCAATTTCTGTTCCTATTAAGACGGAGATCATTTTTTATATTGAATTTAATTAACTCGTAGAGGACTATATAGTCAATGAGTTAATTGTTTATATACAATTATGATATGCTTTTCTTATAGTCGGGTTTGATGCAGTGTTGTTATTTTTTGTTTTTCTTTGGTAGGAGCACTTCCAACGTCCAACATTGATGGCAAGAACCTCGACCATGTATGTACTCAGTTATGTACAAAGTCAAGAAGACTGTATCATTACTTAAAAATAGTTTTTGTAAATGTCTAATTGGAGACACAGTTGGAAATAACAAACTGTCTACTGCAGTTTGCAGTTTTTATGAGGATGTCTAATGTTTATGTCCAGGCCAGTACTCAGACAGACGCCATGCGTGTGCCTGTGTCCCGCCGACGCCAAATGAAGAACAAGTCAGTTCTGTGTCGACCCTTCACTATGGACCAAGAAACCTCTTGTCAGCTGCCCACACCTTCCACAGAACCAGCAGGTAACTACAGAAAGTTTCAGAAAGTTTCACACAAGTTAAAGCTGAGCTACACACCATCAAGCAGCTTCCTCACACTAAAATGCTCTACCAGAGCATTGTACAGTAAGCACATAAAGTTTGCTTAACTGTACATTGTTCATGCAGACATTTGGAATGTGTTCAGAGTATTTTAAATCTTAAAGACAGTGTTGGCAGTGTCTTTCTGCTTCTGCTTTTTCCATCACAACCGTTAACAGTACATTAGCAGTCTCTACACAGGTTTTGACAGAATATCCAGGCCTACTTGGTACGTGGAAAAATGTCTCCAAAAACTGCTGTGTTCAAACCAAACAGCTCTTAGAAGTGGAGGGCTGTATTTCACTTAGAGGCAGCTGCAATATAAAATAAATCAGATGAGCACATTATAATTATAAAGCTGAAATGTCACCAAAGAGCAACTAACTGCTTTGTGGAATATAATACTGAGTTTGCTTGACCTTCGATATTATTTAACATAAAGTGGTAGTATTGATCCTGTATAGGTGGCTTGCAATTACGTGACTATTATGACATGCAACATTCAGATGAAGGGCAGGAAGTCAAAAGCAGAATGAAGAGATGGAGGAAAGTCCATATTGTGCTAGGTTAAATGAGAAAAAAGTATAAACAGAAAATCAACATATGTTGGACATGATCCATATGTTAAGAAGACAAGCAATGTTTCAACAGAACTGAACAACGTTCATCCTATTGAGGCATACCATCCTATGTATAGACATAACATAATGTATGTTGTGTCTATGGTCCTGTGAATTAGCCTAGCAACAAGCATTAAATGCATGGTGCCTCTCGATGCCAACATTACGGTTGTTTACTTAACATAGGTTAACCACTCTAAAGGTCCGGTGACATGCCGCTAAAATCAGATAATCATTGCGAAACAGGACAGAGAAGTCACTGCAGCTCATAGCAACTGCACTGCTGGGTGGCAGTTAGCTGCATAAGTAGTCACTGCTCAGAGGAGCTTTAGCTGTGTCTTTCAGTCAATGTGATGCTTTTTCCCCCTTCCTGAATGACAACTTTTGGTACTTGATAAAAGCTTCTCCTGCTTTGTCACTGTGATCAACTTGATCAACCATAAATAACAAACTTCAGGTGTTATGTGAGCTTGTGATAGTACTGCCTATGTAGAAAATCACTTCCTGCCCTCCATCTGCACTTCACAGATGTGATGTTTTTATATATATATATATACCTGTACCGGAAACAGATTCCTTGTGTGTAACATACTTGGCCAATAAAGGTGATTATCCTTATCTTTATATGCAAACCACCTATTTAACATAAAATATCAGGGTTTTCTGCAAAGACAAATATTATTTTCCATGATTATATAATATGTTTGTTTTGTTGTTGCTGTTTCAGTCCAGATTCATTGGTAGGACAGTACCAAAGTGTTTTTGGAAGCAGCGATGAAAGTAGTCATGGCTAGTCTTTTCATTTGTAACCCATGGCAAGTTTATTTGTGTAGCACCTTTCAACAATAAGGCAATACAAAGGCATTAAAGGCATTAAGACAAGATACACAAGGGATTATAAAAAGACGCACAACTTGGATTTATGTGTTAGTCATTTGTCACAACCCATCGCAGCATCTGTTTCTTTCGTGCATTTTTTGGTTCATTCAGTTGTTTGTTGTTCACAACTAGCTGTTTCAATAATTGCACCAGCTCTGCTAGATAGCCCCTCACAACCCGACCAACCATCTGCTGAAGCAACCTCATCTCCAGCATCACCACCAAAACCTCAGGGAGAATCTCAACTGTGTAATGGCATGCCGGCACGTCTGACCGGACGCCATTTCCTGGGCCGGAGGGAGACTGACTCTGACTGCAAGGTGTGCTCACAATACAAAAGGAAGAGGGCGGAGGAAGAAGAGGAGAGGAAGAAGCAGAAGGTGGATGAGCCAGAGAAGAAAACAGAAGAAGAGACACATACTGAGAAGGATGGGGAAAGAAAAGAGGAGCAGCATTCTAACATGGACTGTGAACAGAAGACTGGGACTGCAAGGAGGAAAACTTCATACTACTGTAAGACATGTTCAGGAGAGCCCAGCCTCTGCCCTGTGCCCTGTTTTGAACTCTACCACACCAGACTGACCTATAGAACA